CAGATATAATATGTATTTATACTGATATGTCAAATCCCAAAAAAGATTGGTCTTGTATGCTTATTTTACACATGTGTTGAGTGTTAAAAATCTAACCAGTTTGTGGTAGGATCTGGCATGTAATGTTTATTAAAAGATTGGCAAACTTCTACTTTCTTGCTGGATGTGGTTACATTGTCCCTGGCTAGTGTTCTGGAGAGAGTGGCAGTTGTATAGTCATAAAGATAGAGGCTGCTGCCTTACTCCTAGGAGCCATCTCTGTACAGGCCCATATCTCAGTATTTTCTTTTTTTTTCTTTTTTACCTTAGCAGTTTTATTTACAGATAATGCTCAAGGGCCCTTTCACATCAACATCTGTGCTTAAATACAGCCTTAAGGTCAGATGAAAATTGTGCCAATACAGCGTATCATGTTGTTTACTTTTTTAAACTGGTATTAATCCAAAAACAAAAATGTATTGCATTGCAGTTTACTAATTCTAAAGATGTGATGGCTCTCCTGCAAATTAATCAGTTAAGACAATTGATACAGGCCATTTACTACTGACAGGGGTGCTTACAACGATTAGCTTTTATTTAATTCTATAAAACATTTATCACAAAACAAACTGCTTATTTAACTGCAGTGTGAGCTGGAGATTGGCTTCAATTTGTTAGTGTATCTAAATCTGCTAGTGCATCTAACACTCACCTTCCCCCAAACTGACAGTGGTGTTGTCTTTGGTGCCCCCAGTGCTCCTTCATCCAGAGTGGGGGTACTGTAATGAAGGAGGAGGTGTGTTACTGTTCAGATCACCAGGTGAAAATAGAGGGGACAAAAAGCCTAAAAAGAGAAAAACACCACAGCTGCAGCCACCACATCTAATGATTGTTAAACCCATATTTAGAATGTAACCTGCTTCTATGCATCTTCCTCTCGCTACCAGAGCCCCCTTCCCTGTGACAGCGGGTGGGGGAATCCCGTCCCCATTCCCGCTGTCACATTTTGAAAATGGCGTGGCTGTGTGGGGCTGTGCCCGCACAGCCATGTCATTCATTCACAGAACTCTGTGAATTCATAAATTGCAAGTTTTGTCCACCACCACAGCAGCAGGACTTGTAGTATCAATGAATTGTGGGTGTGCTTCCCACTTTTTGTTGGAATGTACACGATATGCTGTTTTGCATGATTCATGTGTTTTCTCACAGCTGAATCGATTTATTTTGGTGCACTTGTTCACGATTTGCACAGATATTGTATTTATACACATTTAAGATATCTATATGTAGAAGGTAATACACTATTATAGTTTCATTTTTTTGAGGTTCACAAAGAGTGATAGGAGGATTGGAAGCTCAACACTTTGGATTAAGAAAATGTTTTCTTTGGACTATTGATTGATTGGACCTATATTTTGGACATATATTATGTATTTATTTTATTTATTTATAATTTTTATTTATATTTGTTTTGGGGTTGGAATAGGATTGATTTGTATAAGGATTTGATTTATGAGTTTTGACAGTTAGGTGGAAGAAAAGGTTGGTTATAATTGTATCTACTTTCAAGGGTGAAAGTGTCACTTTTCTGAAAGGGTTAATTAGAGTGGGTATTTCACTTAGAGTAAGGTGTGCTGAGTAATTGCTATTTATTTATACATTTTATCATGTTCTATTGCCTGCATCATGGTGCAAGGCAATGGAATGCATTGCATGGTGCTATGCTGGAAACAAAAGTACTGCATGCCATACTTTATTTGGCACACACCACCCAAAAAAATGTGATGTGAACTGACGTGATAGGAGACGAGGCGTTCTGCCTCTGCTTTGGTGGGACTGCTCTGAGCAATTCTACTCAACACAGTCCCACTGCACTTGGTGTTAAAAGGTGCAAGAGTTTCTCATATGTCCAATGTGTCATATGCTAACAGGATTTCACAAACAGAATGTTCTACAGAAATATTTGTCTAGCCTTTATAATACTTAGCAGGAAATTAGCATTTCTCTTTGTTTTCAGCATAAGGAGGGATGGAGACAAAACAAATGAGAGGAGAGCACACATAAAAGCTTGAATTACAAATATCACTTTGCTTGGCAGACATTTTTTAAGGTTTTGCAAAACAATGCAAAAGAACAGTATGAGATGAGAAAATCATTTTCAACAATATTTTGCCTTTTTTTCATTCGTTTTTGAATAAATGAATGAAAAGGTGAAAGGATCACAGTTAAGATACATTAGTTGTTACATTGACAGGAAGTGTCTAAAAAATACCTAGGGATCATGCAACGAACGGTTTTATTAAATGTGTTGTAAACCCAAAATCTATTTTTCAGTATGCTTGGCATCATGTCTCACTGTATACAATTAAACACATTTTTTTAGTGAATTTGCTCTAAAATTTCTTATTTAACCCCTTTACGCCAGCCGCACACAAATGTGCGGCCTCCTGGCATCTGGGCCTAGAAGCCGAGTGGCCGCACATTTGCGTTCATGTAACAAAAAACATATGTGCTGAGAGCGCGCTCCCAGCACACATGTGCGGTACTCACGGAAAAGTCCCGGTTCGCTCTTTCGATCGGGACCTTTCCCGATCATGTGACCGCCGTGATGACGCGTCACGGCGGTCACATGATCCCTAAACCACGCCCCACCCGCCCCGCCTCCCGGCGCCTGAAACTCTTAAAGGGCGGGAAGGGGTTAAAGATACCACCAGTAGCCGCACTGCCTGTTGCAGGCTTACAGTCCTAAGCCAGTGCCTCACAATTAGCACTACCATGGTCACCCTACTATGTAAGTTGCTTTATTTGGATGTTGGTCTGCCTATCTGGTCTTTCAGATAGGCAGTCCTATGGCTAACCAAAGGAGTTCCCATGGCTCACATGGGGGAGCTCCAATAATGAGAATCAGACACCCTCCTAATGGCCCTGGTAAACCCAAAGATATGACAGCCTGAATATGTAATATGTGAGAGATATTAGAATCAGTCAGCTGTTTTAAAGTAACTCTGACGCCTTTAAATTTTTTTTATAGATTTCCTGCGATAAAATAATGCTTTTACCCAGAAGTTGCACAGCCTATTCCTGGAACTTACGTTCCCTTGAAGTGCTAAAGTTGTCTGAAGATTCTACACATCTGAGACAATGTTGAATGTGTCAGATACATGATCTCTTGCCTTCCGTAGGTCACTACAGTACATAGCACCGATTTAGGGTCCAAAGGATGGTACCTGAAATGCCCAGTAGGTGTCACAAACATCTGACACTCCCAGAAATGTTGAATGTAAAGATTCTTTGGTTATAAATTTAACCCCCTCCTTCCCTTACCCATCTATCTGATCTATGGGGTTAGAGAAAAAAAAATGTATACCCCCTTTTTCATTTACCTTGCATAGAAAGAATGAAGGCGCTGAACTACAACACCAACATGTAGATGGATATCAGCAGCCAGAAATGGGTATAATGTCAGGTGCTTGAGCTATACTGGGTAGCCTCAGAGTGACTGGGATAGTGGGGCAAAAACAATAATTATAAACACACTAGATAAGTGATTCAGGCTATTCACATAGGCTCACTCTGTGGAGTTAGTTGTATGAAACAGGCTTAAACACTGGTAGATCCAGAGCCCATAAATCATGAGTCAAAATGTCCAGTGTACCTGTTGTTGGATGGACCCAGGCTGAGGGCAGAAGGAATGTGGAGATCTTGCTAAGATGACAGATGAAATCAGTGACAGGAGACCACCAGCTTTGGTGGAGGATATGGAGTAACTCATGTCACCAGAAATGACATCACCGGAAGTCATCAGCTGCACAACGAGGACTGCTGGAATGCATCATGGAGTCAGTAACTAAGCCGGTTGCCAGAATAACATGTTTCAAGACACACCACATTGTTTAATCCTGATATGCTAACCAGCAAGACAACCATTTATACCCTAATCTTTTGAATTGGCACATCCCTTGACCCAAAGATAGGCCAATCAACTACCAGTGGGTACGAAATGTAAGTTGATTGAAAACCATTGTAAAAAAAACCGCCGTGGTAGTTCATTGATTACTCTTGTTAGTACATCTCTTACAGGCAAACAGATATACTGACAGATCTGAAGGCGTCCTGCATGATACCAGCGATCTGCAATGCTCTACAGGCTCCTGCAACCAAAAATAATAAATGCTAATTTTTTTACCTGCAAAAAAAATGTGCATTTATTATTTTTGGTCAAAGGGTGAACTTATCCTTTAAGTTGTGTTCACGTAATTATCCAGCACAGGGTCCTTCTCTCTGTTTACTTCTTGGATGGGTCCTTCTTCCAGTTGTCCACATCACTGCCTGTGTGATGTGGACAATTCCCATTGGCTGGCCAGTGAGGGAGGTCCTATTAGGATTCAGAAGAGGAGCAACACCTGATAGAGGTGAATGAAAGGGGACCAGCCAGCAAGGGTTAATATGTGGTGCTGGATTAGCAGCCCCCGCAGGTGAAAACGACATCATGGGAGGACTCAGATGACTATAATTGACTTCACCAGTTAAAGGAAATTTTAGCATTTGGCAGAACAGGTTAGAAATAGATTTTGAGTGGAGTCGGACTTCAAATACATCACGAATTCCTTTCACGCATACAGATTTCAGCAACTCAGTGGGAAATGTGGATTCTTGTCAATTAGCACTTTTATAGTTAACCAGTTTTGCTATGCGCTGGCATAATTTGAAAACGTTGTGCCCGACTGACTAATACTGCAACATGTTTCCATCTAGCAAAAATCTAGCACACACTTGGCATGTTACCGAATTCTTCCAATGAACAATTCCAAATTCAATAATGTTTCTTTCGGCAGTTGTAGATCATTATTTAATGCTGAATTTCATAGAGTAGCAAAAGCTGTTGAAATGAAAATGAGTTCCAAACCTTTTCAGTACACCAAGTTTAGGTAATTGTGTATAATTTTCTAATATCTTTTTCTACAGAAGTATTGCGTGGATAGTTAACAATAATATCTAACAATACCTATTTATCTTTGCAGAATTAAGTTTAGCTGCTTTCAAGCGCAACAAAAGAAAACTTGAGCTGGCGGAAAAGGTGGAAACAGATTTTATTCAGATTAAAAAGAGAAGACAATCAAGTGAAAAGGTTAGCATGAAAATTGCAGAGCCCTCCTATAAATAAGTTTATCTTTTATTGTAATTCTAGGTTATTAAATGAGTCAAATGTTACTCATTGGTGATATGTATCGGGAAAAATGACTGCTGGAATCGCTTTAACCTGGGTTTGACTATCAGTGCCGCTTCACATACAATATATGCGGGTTGGATGCAGTTTGAATCACATCCAATCCACATGACGTGAAAAAACATTGCTTCCTATGGTGCCTGTTCACATATGTCTGGTGCACTGGCGGTGAGTATTCATTGCGGTTTGAAAAAGAGTCATGTAAGATTTCTGAGCAGTGTGCTCCGGTTCAGGTGCGGAGTACTATTGACTTTTATGGGAACCAATTCTAAACCCCGTATGTGTGAACAGGATAATGCTGAGAGCTAATATTGTCCTGAACCTGTTGTAAACCTGACAGGAACCTGTGAACAACTACTGTATCAATTAGCTGTGAAACCAGAGCTTCAATCCGCACCGCAAATGTATGGATTAGCTCTCAATCATGCACAGTGCACTGGACGGTAGAATTTAATTTGATCTAGGAACACCTATGTCGCCACTCAGTGCCTGCTATTACATATTAAACAGCCTAATAAATACCCTTTTGCTAAGGGGAAAAAAAATTAGAGAAAACACAAAAATCCAAATGTAAAATGAATCTTTAGGATTTTTAATACCCTTTTGCTAAATTGTATGAACAATGGATTTTTTTTTTACATTTTAGAGGAAGTTTCACTTTATTTTGCTGTATATATATATATATATATATATTTGTAATTTTGATTATCACTAAATTTCATTAAAAACACCTTTTAACCTCCCTGGCGGTATTCCCGAGTGTAGCTCGAGGTAAAGTTTCAGTACCAAAAGTGGTAACCCCGAGCTACACTCGGGAATTCACTGCAGCGTTGCTCAGGAATTCCCTGCAGCACATACCTTGTCCTGGGCTCCCGCGATGTGTCCCCTGCAGCTTCTCCGGCCATCTCCTCCGGCCGATGCCGGCATCCGTGTTCCAGTCCCTGCGGGCGCCGGGATGTACGGGGGCCAGAACCGGCAGGAAATTTTGAAAATTTTAAAAACTGACATTCACTAATACACTAAAATCACATAGTAAAACATTACTGTTTCAAAGCATTTCACATACATTTTGTCCCTACTACTTTGTCCTGTGCCCTGCCTGCATTTTTACTGTTCTTTCTGCCTGGAAACTTAGAAAAGTCCATGGCGTCCAAAGAGCGTCCCTTTAGGTCAAAAGCAGTTTTAGACCGGCTAGAGAACAGCGATAGTAAATCAGAACCACTTGCAGAATTGAGTGATGATTCGTGGGGAAATTCATCATCAGACACTGAAAACGATTCTGCGACTGAGCTCAGCGATGTGCGAACTTGGTGCTATATTTCAAATTTCAGTGTTTTTGGTGTGATTATATTATAGAATTACATTTATTATTATTATATTATTATTATTTTTTATGATTATTTAATATATTATAATTTATGAGTTCGTGTTTCAAGTTTTATCATACCCGGGATGTGTACTAGACTCTTGTTCAGACATATTTCAGTGAGCTATTCCTAAAAATTACAGGCCTACAATAAAAAAAACGACATATTTCCATGCAAAAAAAGTACCGCTTTCAGTACAGAAATATGGACATAATCAGACCGCTAGGGAGGTTAAGAAACTTTGCTTTAATACCCCACTCCCTCCCAGCATATATTAATATATCCTTCACTTCCTCATGCAAGCCAAAAAAAAAACTGTTCAGTATGGATGAGCTTATGATTTATCCCATGTGACAATGCTGGTTCATTCATTGTTGTCACATAAGGTGCCTGATTACTCGTAGCCTACCCAGGACTTTCCTTTACCTTCTGAAAGCTGAATGGATTGGAGGGGGAGCGAAATGAAAGAAAGTATAAGCTACTAGGGAGGGAGAAGTTATTTGTTTCCTTTTGTTCTGTTATATTTACCATTTAACCAGTTCGCAACTGCGCTATAGCCGAAGGATGGCTACAGCGTGGTTGTCTGGTTTTGGGATGACGTCCATGGATGTCATTCCAGAACACGCCCCCTGCGCGCCCCCAGTGATCGCTGTGTCCAACAGACACAGCTGATCATGGAATACGGTAAACGGCCAATCACGTCGGCCTTTTACCACGTGATCAGCTGTGTCCAATGACACAGCAGAGCACCGGTAAATGCAGTTGCCGGTTATCGGCTGCACTTTCCTCACACTATCACAGCATGAAGAAAGTACTGCCGAGAACCGGCAATTGTCAGCGAAGGGATCGGCACTGATCATCAGGGCACTGATGGTCAATGGCCAGCAGTGCCGCCCACTTGTGCTGCCCACTTGTACCCATCAGTGCCACCCACCTGTGCCCATCAGTGCCACCCACCTGTGCCTTGCAATGCCACCCATCAGTGCAGCATCATCAGTGCCTCCTATCAGTGCCCATCAGTGTTGCCTATCCATGCCACCTCATCAATGCCCATCAGTGCTGCCTATCAGTGCAGCCTCATCAACGCACATCAGTGAAGTATAAAAATTACCTTTTTGCAAAGTTTTATAATAGAAACAAAGAAAAACTTTTTTTTTTTTAAATTTATTTGCTCTTTTTTTTTGTTTATAGTGGAAAAAAAAAAAACACCCAGTGGTGATTAAATACCAACAAAAGAAAGCTCTATTTGTTTGAAAAAAAATGATAAAAATTTCATATGGGTACAGTGTTGCATGACCGTGCAATTGTCATTCAAACTGTGACAGCACTGAAAATTGGCCTGGGCAGGAAGTGCCCAGTAGGCAAGTGGATAAAGTGTTTTGTTTTTATCTGATCATTTTGGGAATGATCATTTTTTTCTGTTTCATGAGCACATACAGATTTGGAGCTTGACATAATAACAGAATACAAACAAATTATCAGCATCGCAAAAACTCCACTTGAGCAGCTTGCTGGGATACAGAATAAAGTGCTGTCAGACTTCTTACTTGTGGGGTCTAACTTTGTGGTTCACAAACATGTGTATCTGGTGGTGGAGTAACTGGAATGTCACGGAGGATCACTCTGTATTTGCTAGACTTATTATTTCATATTTTTATCATTTGCACTGGATTTTTGTAGTTTTAAGTATATTGCATTAATTCATATTGTTATATTAGCGCTTAAAGATATAACATCACAAGAGTATGTAGTTGTTGACAATCTGGAATAATATTTAAAGGGACAGCATAACACATATGTTTGCACAGATTTCTTAACACTTTGTATCGGGGTTGGTGAGTGCAGCTGTCTCTGAGATTTAACATTTTTAGTTTTTCACTGATTGGTTCTGGACACAGAAAATAATTATTTGTGGTTTGGAATCCTGTTGCACTTTAAAGCAGTATTCTTTATTAGTTTTACATAGTGATATTGATAAATACAGCAGCATCGAGAGTACATAGCGCTGTTCTTCGGTTTTTCAACTGTATGTAATCAAGAGTTTTTATGACTTGTTGTTGTAATCTCCCAGATGTATGTGTCTGTAACTGTTTACTTTGAAAAACCTCATTTCAATAAAGAATTACAAAAAGAATCCTTCCTATCAGTTCCTGTCCCCTGTTGCATGCACACGCATCAAAGCCAGTTTGGATGAAAACTGATTAACCTGGTGGTGTGTTTGAGGGTTCTGAGAGCAACGGCCTGTAAACGTGAGGAAGAACAAAATTTCCTTGCATGTTATGTCCCTGGATAAAAACGCTACAGTTCCCCTGCCCCCTTCCTAAACCTCCTTTGCTAATTACCTTATATATTTTTTTCTTTCTGTTGTGTTCCAATGGGAAATGCAGAATTTTGGAGTCTTAGAGAGATGAGGTTTTATCACAAAACATTACACTGAACTCCAGCCAGCTATCCCCACTATAATTGCTGAGTTAAAGGCCCCATTTACTTACCTAAATCCATGGTTACATGACACCCTGGGGTTGATTTAATAAAACTGGAGAATGCAAAATCTGGCGCAGCTCTGCATAAAAAAACAATCAGCTTCCAGTTCAAAGCTTAAATGGACAAGCTGAAGTTAGAAGCTGATTGGCTACCTTGCACAGCTACACCAGGTTTTGCCCTCTTCAGTCAACTCCCCTGAGTCTTCTATCTTTTTTGCTGCGGAGAAGAGTCCTTCTTCAGGTTCTCACATCACTGTCTGAAGTCCATTGGCTGTCCAGCAGCAATGAACTCTCAGTTCCTGAAGATTGTAGTGATGTGATGAAGTCACAAGCAGGGAGGCAACAAGATCCATCAGCCATGAGCTCAAACTCCAGCCTAACCACAGGTTGACTCTCTCAGAAGAGACGCTGGTCATATGATGGCAGACTTGGGTAAGTAATGCTGTTAGAGTGTTTTATTTTAATGAAAAGGTGGAAAGGGGGTTAATGGTGCTCAGAGATTGGCTTTAACCTCTTTGCCCTGGCATCTCTAGGCCTTTTAAGGGGTTTTAGATGCTGGAAGGCAGGGCAGAGTTTTTGATTATGTCATTGGTTGTCACAGCAGTCACATGATCAGAAAGCTTCCGATCGCAAGTTGAGATCGGGTGCTTTCCGTTTGCCTCCAGTAACTCTGTGCGCTCTCTGATTTTTTTTGGGGGGTACGCATATATGCGGCCTCTTGATGTTTAGACCCACCCGTCGAAATGCGTGCACAAATGCGTGCGGCCAGCAGGAAGGAGTTAAAAATGTATTGAAGTTAGTGGATCTTTGCCTGAAAACATGCAGAGAGCTCAGGAAGCCATGTATTTTTATGCAGACCATTTGGTTTTATTACAGGACTTTCACAGATTTTGTGCAATAGGTGACAAAATATTCATCACATGACATTTTTGGTGTGAGTGCCATTCCCGTTAGTACTACCATATTCCCATAGCTACATTAAAGACAAAACCCAATAATTGAGAGAACCCTATCACATGACAGTGTTTGGAGGAGCAGGAAGTAGATAGAT